TAGGTCAGCTTTTTCAGAAAACTGATCTGCTGATTCTGCAACAATGCCACTGAAGAGTCATTAGAAACACTGAGCGCCAGTTTGGTGCAATGGTTAAGGCCTCAGGCTACAAACCAGGAGACTGTGAGTACTACTCCAGCCTTAGGAACAAAGCCAGCTGGGGGCCTTGGGCCAGTCAATGCCTCTCAGCCCTGAGAAGCAGGCAATGGCAAAATACTTCTGAAATCTTGCCAAGAAAATTGCTGGGACTAATTCAGGCAATAGCTTGAAGGCAACAAACACTGACTTGAAGGCAATAAAAAAAGTTGTTTGTGTTATAGCTATGTAGTGTGAGTAGGCCATATCCTGAATAGCTGCTGATTTCATTTCTCTGTCTTAAGAGCACACAGTTCCCATTATGGGGGTTTGGATACTGCTATCTATTGAGGAAGCAGAGACTATTGAATAGATTGTATGGGGTATAAAAAGCAGTCAGTTTTTTTTTTTTTTTTTTACAAAATTAGCAAAGTGGCTGAACTAATAAAAAATTGGTACAGTTGTTCAGGGAGAAATTCTTAATTTTTTCCTACGAATGTGGACAATAGGTATTCAGGTAACCCGAGAGTCTGAAAAATTGATTATTTCTATTGGTAATAGCTTAAGAAAGAAATGGTGAAAATGAACAGACAGGATTTGTAAAAATGGATTTTACTGCTTGTGATATATTTGTGTTCCTGCCATGCATCTGCAGCAAGTTCAAGCTTGTGGTAGTCAAGACATGTCAAAGACAAGGCCCGGGGCCCGGATACGGCCCGCGAGGTGGTTTCATGTGGCCCACGAAGCCATCCTGGAAACAGTGAGGGAACGGCTCCCGCTGCCTTGGCCCTGGCCCAGGCCGCCCGGGAGCCAATGTACAATTTTGTGGTGGCCATCTATGCTGAAATGCATTCAGTCTTAGCTCCATAAGGCCATCCAGAAACAGTGAGGAACCAGCCCCTGACGCATTGGCCCCGCCCCCTGGGTGCATGCTGGGGAAGTGTCACCCTTTGTGACGAATGAAGAAATACACCATGTCTTGGCGCTTGCCCCGGTCCCACCCCGTTCTGCCAGAGATCCTCAGATCTGTCCCACTCCTGCCCAGACCCCCACAGGCACCCTTGACGCGAACAATGTAGAGCTGGCCATGCCCACCCAGTAGGCTACACCCACTCCATCCACGCCCACCCAGTAGGCTGCACCCACCCTGGCCACACCCACCAGGTCCCCAAAGGGCAACACAATGCTGATGCGGCCCTTAATGAAATTGAGTTTGACACCCCTGTGGTAGTCCTTAACAAAAAAGTCAAAACACAGAAGTAGGAAGTAGCCACGCTGCAGCTGAATGAGTACACCTCCCCGAAATCAAACAAAGGACAGGAATTGAAAGAGGAAAAACATTTCTATAGTAATACAATAAAACAAAGGAATAAGCCCAGTAGGCAAAGGTAATAACCATAAGCAAGTGTTATGAAATACAACCTGTACCTTTGAAACTAAATCAAATTCCCAAACTTTCAAAGAAGAGGCAGACTTTGAGAATATAGGTTGATTGTGTTCTGCAAGAAGACTGAGAGAGGAATCCTTATATTATGAGGCACTGCCCCAACATTCTGATTGGATTGATCTGATCATGAAACATATGTCTTTTTCAAGGAGGAAAGATGTGGCATTTATTGACCATGATCACTTCATGGTAACCACTCTGAGAAGAAACGGAATTGCAAAGAACACCACTACATGTTCTGAAGATTAAGGAAGCAAGTTCAGGATCTTGGGGATACAGGTGAACTCATCCATTCTTTCCTATGGAAAAGTAAGTAGGATTGCCAACAAATGATTGCCTAAGTAAATGGTGTCAGTGGGAGACATGAACAGGCCACAATTCTGCCAACCTATTTGTGTGTGGGTCTAACCATTACAGAATAAAGTGAAACAATTAACATGATTCAGAAACTGTTCTGTAGCTGCAGTCTAATATTGCACTGGCATTCTTCACCCATTGTCCAGAATTTTGCATTATAATGCTTGAGCAATAGTCCAGACCAGGGGTCTTCAAACTTGGTCCTTTTATGACTTGTGGACTTCAACTTCCAGAATTCTTCAGCCAGGCATGCCAGTTGAGGAATTCTGGGAGTTGAAGTCCACAAGTCATAAAAGGGCCAAGTTTGAAGACCCCTGGTCCGGACCATCAGCATTTTTTCCTTAAGATCCTTTACCAACCTCTGTTCAATTCGAGTTTTAGCTTTCCTGACATTTTCTTTCTTTCTTTCTTTTTTCTTTTTTGAAATTTGGAAGTTGGCAGAACTGTGGATGACACATTCAGTCTTGGAGAGATCATATTAAAAGTACTGCCAGTCCCTGGCAGGAAAAATTGAAAATTCCTACAGAAGTTCTTTTTGTGTGTATGTGCGGCTCTTCTAAGCAGGTGGTGTGGTGGCTCAGCGGTTAAGATGCCAAGCTTGTTGGCTAGAAAGCCGGCAGTCCAGATTTACCACATGATGTGGTGCGCTCCCATCCTTGCCCCAGCTCCTGCCAATCTAACAGTTCGAAAGCATGGAAATGCGAGTAGATAAATAGGTACCATTATAGTGGGAAGGTAACAGCACTCCATGTGGGCCACGTGACCGCAGAAATGGCTTTGGACAGTGCTGGCTCAATGGTCTTGAAATGAGAACTGCCCCCTATAGTCAGCAACAACTAGTGGAATAAAATTCCTTTACCTTTTTTTTTTTTAACTTTCTAAGTCTGGTCTCTATACGGAAGCAGGGAGAAAGGACAGAAGTTCCCTTAAACCACTCAATTATGTTTATATAACACAGTGGTTCTCAACCTGTGGGTCGGGACCCCATTTGGGGTCGAACGACCATTTCACGGGGGTCGCCAAACAAGGCTGTCCGACATTTTTTCCCCTTTTCTTTGGCCATGCCCCTGGCACCCAGTGATGTATAAGTGGTTGGGGGTCACCACAACATGGGGAACTGTATTATGGGGTCGCGGCATTAGAAAGGTTGAGAACCACTGATATAACATGAGTGACAGGTTTATCCGAAACAGCCAGGGGGTTGACAGTAACTTTGGAAACCCTTGGGACTTTCATCTCTCCCTGACATCCCAGCCCACTCTTTACAAAACGAATAGACCAACAATGCATGCCTCTCTGTGTGAAAGTGTTTTATCCCTTTCCTAACTGTGCATGTTTGTGAAATATTAGGAATGTTATTCATTCATTTAGTTTCCTAAATCTACCAATTTTCAGAGTTGAGTTGAGAGTTGTTTATTAGGTGATCTACCTCTCACTGAAACCAGTGGAGCTTTATGATGATTTGGCTAGATACTATAGCTTTGTTAATTTTATCCTCCCATTCACACATAATTTGTTAATAGTGTGAATGCTAAAGTCTTAAAACTACATTGCAAAAACGCCATTATTCTGAATTTTGGAGGAGAAATTTCCCTTACTTCTCACAGACTGGGACTTTTCAAATGGCAAGCATATATATCTCCCCTGTAAATACTGTAAATGAAATGAATTTTCAACCATGAAAATAAAGCTTTACTATGGAAATAGGGACAGGCATGGAAAAGGGTAAAGGGTTCAGGTGCCACTATAATCGGTACTATAAACATGCTTTAAATTTGTGGCACGGAGGACATACTTTTCATAATACAGCAATTTTATAGTTTTATTGGACGGCCAAGCGATAAAGGAATATTCAGAAATGGCAGTTTGAAATGAATGAAAGTGGGGAAAAAACCACATAGCACTAAATCACGTTACTTCTATAAAATACTACTGCAATAGTTCTTTTATTAATTTTTAATGCTCAGCACCCTTGGTGACCTCTTTTATTCTTTTGCTGTCAACATGGCAGCCTGGAAAAAAATTGAAATGGGATAATAAAATGCAGGAAGTACTTAAACCCCCGGAGTATGCAAGTGCATTCTCTCTGCCTTCCCTGTCACTCTTTCCGCATCTCTGCCAGACTCCCCCACCATACCTAACTCCCCACAGGGGTGGGAGAGGAACTGGTTTAAGTAACCCAGTGTCTGCCTTTATGTACTTTCAGTATTTATTTTAAATGCTCATTTTAAAAGAGAAAGTGTTTATCTGAATAATAGAACTGCTTGAAAGAAGGCTGTTTTCTTTTGTCTGTCTGGCTTCCACTACATATATTTGGCCTGATTCAGCTGCATTTTGCTCAAACAGCAAGGTACCATTATGCTATGAATATTTACCACTGTTTATATCTCCAAGGAGACTAATCTCCATACCACTACAGTCCAGAAGCTCGGGGCATTGTCTCTGCAGGCCCCAGTTCATGATGTCACAGCAGCCGAGGCCATGGGGGTCAAACAGATTAATCCATCAGTGAAAATAAAGCTCCGGGTTATTGTCCACCAACTTTCCCCCCTCCCCCACCAGAGGACTTAAAATAACGTTCCATGCTGGAATCCGGTCTATGGAGCAGTTTGGTGTATGTATCACAAAGGGAGAAAAATGGGAAAATATCAGATCAGTGAAGCTTGGGGGGTGCAGCAGAGTCGCTGTGTTTATGAAATGTGTTAAGAAGGCAGATTACAGTAGGGACTGCATATCCTATTAAAAATCCCAGCAAACTTCCCATTTGGGAATGTTTATTTTTGTCTTCTTCCAGTGCCCTTTGATTAGCCCCTGTCTAACATGCACCCTGACAACTGTGACAGAATGAAAAATCCCAGGAAAAATGTGGGTCATAAAAGAAAGGCGACTTCCTCCATTACTCAGGGGTGACCCTATCAGTAAAATTGGGTTGCGACATTTCGTCATTCAGGAAAGGGCAGCCCATGAGGGCTCACAGTCAATCTGTCATGATTATTAGCAAACTCTGACCAGCAACAAACCTAAAATACAATTGGCACAATAATGCAGTCATATTAATGGCACCTCTTGCTGGTTCCAGGCCTCAAAGAAAGAATTTTTAATAAGAAAGACCAATACCTACCTGATACTCCACCGTAGGTGGTCTTTTTGCTGTGCCCTACAGAAGGCCAAGGAATGCCATCCGCCTTCAGTCCCATCAACCCTGACACAGTATTGGTGGCTGTAACACCATCTGCCCCACCTACAATAAATTTAGTGGTAGTTTTAATAAGTATGTTAACACAGCACATAAATGGTTACACGGTAGTCCTAATTAGATGACGAAGCTTTCTAGCTATTAAAAAAAGTATCATTGTCATCGTGTTAAAATGATTTTCAACATTCAGAGAGAATTTGAAACATTCCTTGTAAATCCTGATGTACGTTTTTCACAAGTTAGCTGTTAAGTGCTAATAATTACTTGATCTTATATGTAATGAATGAAGTGGCCTGAAGAATTTTTATAGTTGACAAAGTGAAGACAGACAGATTGACGCAACACTTCCCCCCCCCCCACAAATGACCCTAATGATTAAGCAAGGAAACTATACCTCCAGCTTTTAAGAAAGATCACAGGCAAAGTATTATTGTTGGCTGTTAAGATCAGTAATTTATATTAATGGTTGTTAATTTTTTAAAATGCTAAAGGCGTCATCTCTCTTTTCAATCAACTCACTATAGATTCGCTTTTCTACAGGTGTGTGACTACCAGTGGTTTTATCAGGCCCTAATTGGGACAGCGAAGAGCTGGCAAATGTTCTTTTGAAGCTGGAGCATTTTTTTAATCCCTTGCAAGCAGTTAGGTGTAATGTGTGGTATAAGTTAAACCAATAAACACACAGTGTGAGGAGATCCTATTCTTATCCACTCTACCCTTCCATCTTAGGCCATATTTCTACTAACTAAGCTTGATTCATAGAGTATGTTCTCATACTCCCAGTTTACTTTCCTGTCAGTCCACAGGGAGCTGGAGTCTCTTATCTCTTACTTTGCTTTTCTTCTGTCCCTCTTCTCTCCTCCTTCCTATCAACTCCTTTCCCTCCTCCCAATTAAATGTAATGGCATCTGGCTTCAAATCTACCCCATTTCTCACTGTGCCTTTGCTATGCCCTATTTTCAGTTTTGTATCAATATCTCCCACATAAGCCTTTATGTTGTTTCCAGGGTCAGGGTGAGACAGATAACAATTCAATGAAAAAGCAGGTTGATTGTGATAATCCAATGGAATGATGAATTGTAATAAGATTCACTTCTGGAATAAATATTGGTGAACACAGATGAAACTGTCATTTTTAGACAGCCTTTTAAGTTGGTGATTCATATAGGGAAGTTTCACTTAGGTCTATACATGAGCAATACATGAAACCTGAAATCATATATTTTGGGGAAATATATATATCTAAAAGATTGAAAACTGACTACATGTACAAATGGGTCAATCATGTATTTGGTATTTTCATGAAGATGAGAAACAGGGAAGTGTACCGACCATGCTCCAGATTTACAGAAGTTTTTTCAGCTTTTCTTCTAAGAGGAAGAATAAGAGAAGATGACAAAATACAAAGACCTGCAAATAGAAATTGAATGACTGTGTGGCAAAACAAAGAACCTATAGTAATAGGCGCCTTGGATTCAATCCCAAAACAACTGGAGCATCACTTAAACACCGTCGGCATTGACAAAATCACCATCCATCAATTGCAAAAGGCAGCTTTGCTTAGAACAGCTTACATCCTGCAACAATATTTGTAACACTACCGAACTTCTACATAGGCCTATCCTATTAGGCTCTTGGGAAGGACTTGATAGGTGGGCAAAAATGCCAACTTAAGTCTGAACATATGGTGCGATGAACCATATTAAAATCTTCTCTCACATATACCATAGTTCCATCAAGTTCTTATGAAACCCTAGAGTTCCATGGAACAGTTTCAAAAACAATTCAATGTTGCCATCGTGTGGGACCAAAAATATGTTCCTTCTCTATCGTGGCCGCTTGTCATCTGGAACAGCATCTCCCTAAGGATTCAGATGGCACTGATTCTCCTGGACTCCTGGAAAGCCTTTAAGATCAAGTTCTCTTTCCAGCTCTGGGCTTAATTGTGGTTGTTATATATAGCTGGGGCCCCTGTTGTACTGTTGTATGGTTTATTGTTCTAACTGTTTTAGTCCAAGTTGCCTGTTTATGAAGATTTTAATTATTTTAATGATTTTTACTGCTTTGAGGGCACTACTCTATGCAGACTCTCCTGGAATAGGCAGCTGTAGCAGCTAATAAATTAAATTAAAGCATATTGATGCTTTAATTTACCAGCATTATAAATAACAGCAGCTGCATGATAAAAAGGGCAAGTGGTATTAAAAATTAGAAGAACTGGATACTTGCCAAGACCCATATCTCACCTTAGAGATCATTATCATGATCCCCGGAATAGATTTTCCTCATCATCATTGCCTCTCTCTTCCCCCCCCCCCCCAAAAGAGAAAATGGCAAGCTTGAAAGAAGCAAGGAAGAACAAGCTATCCAGACCATTTATTTACTTGCCAATCTACACTTTGGGTCAAATAATAGTACATAAGGAGCCCTGGCGGTGCAGGGGTTAGAATGTAGTATTGCAGGCCAACTCTGCTCACACTATAGCCCAGAGTTCGATCCCGATGGGGCTCAAGATTGACTCAATCTTCCATCCTTCTGAGATTAGTAAATTTGTTGGGGAAAATATGCAAGTAATGCTTTGGTTGGAAACTGCCCAAAGAGTGCTGTAAAGCACTACAGGGTAGTATATAAGTCTAAAATGCTATTGCTGTGTTATGGAGTAACAGTGATTGACTGCATGGCAAATATAAAAAGTTTACCCTACTGAGACACTGGGGTCTGTACACAAATTGAGCTCACTGAGGACTTCTGGAGAAACTCCTTAAAAACTTCTAAACTCTTTTTAAGTTGAAAGGAAGAAAAAGCATAATTAGTAGGTGAAGGTTCAAGTAATGTATGATTCAGTTTGTAGTTTCACCCATGGTTTTCACACTCATTTTCATGCTCAGGAAATGGGGGGGGGGGAAAGAAAGAGAAATGGTAAGTTTTATTATGTTCTCTACTTCTCAGAACAGGATTTTACTTCTGTATCTATCAAGTTGCAAATTTTAAGAAAGAGTGAAACGCGGATATGTCTGAACTTGTTACCTTCTTGGGCAGCCCTCGCAATGTTCACAATGTTTGTGACATTTGGCGTCAGCTTGGCAAAGAAAGGAATCTGAACAGCTTGTCTCACCCAACGACAGATGTTGCGTACCAGCTCTGGATCCTGTTCAAATAGGTCAGATCAATACAGTGCATAATTAAAAGTAATGTGATCAAAACTTTCCAACAATCTGTTTTCCTGTAGTTTTCAATGCGTAATTATATTTCAATACTCTGCTTTGCCTCATTAATTTAAGCTATGTCAACATTCTAAATAGTACGGACAAAAACTATACTGAAATATATTAGATATGTAAAGCAGAATAACACTGTAAGAGGGGTTTGTGTATGTGTGTGCTGTGGAATTAAACAGTCACCACTTTGGAATCTTAAAACAATGTGAATCAGCAGAAGGAAACCATTGTAACAGACTGAACTTTTCTTAGAGAAAGATATTTAAGACATGCTAACCCTTCCCTCCACCCAATGGGAGAACAATTGACCATATACGTTTTGAAACTGAAATGGAGTGCCATTTGCAAATACATACATCACCTGTCAGCTTCTCCTTATCCTATTTTCTAAGGGTGGGGGAAGGGAGGAAAAAGGGAGCAGAAATGAAATATACATCAACTAAAAGAGACAAAAAATGTGGAGAGAACTCTACCTCCCCGATCGCCTAAAATAACAACGCTGAACACACTCCGGATCAACTCCAGCACCATGATTCTTGATGAAAATTGCCAAAATTCAGTACCCATAGTTCAATAGATAGCATGCTAATCATGACTGCACTGAAACACTTGGTACTTGGATCTGATCCTGGGAACAGATTTTATTTTGTCAAGACGATGCAATAAAAATGTGATTAATTTAACTGCATTCAATTACTTATATTTAAGCTTTTGCTCTTTATCATATAAAAGAATTACAATGAATTACATACATATTTTCTAAAGGTGGTAGAATGGCTTTTCTAAAGGTGGTAGAATGGCTATTTTCTAAAGGTGGTAGAATGGGATGCTGAGTAGTTTGCACCTGGTTAATATTTGGCCAGCTCCAGGACATATAGGGTTATAGGCTAATTTTGAGTAATATTAAATTAATTTTTCTTCTTGCTTTTTTTTGGGTGGGGGGTTGTTACAGGTACTTTATAAATTAAACCAATTGGAGAATGCTTTTGTATACGTTAATACAGGGTGGTTTTTTTTTTTTTGTAGCAGAAGACTTTGTTATTGGCTTGGCATCACCATCCTGATCTCACATCAATTGTGATTAGCTATCAATTCCCATTTTAAATTTTTCCCCACTGCTATAATTTGTGAAATTAAGTAGGTTCATAATGATGGGGATTCTACCAAAATGGGCATGATCCATGAAGGACATCTTGCTTGAGATCCCATCAATCCTTCAGCTAGTTTTCTGTATTACAGCCCTGTCCAGCATTAGAGTGTCAATTGTGTGATTAAAAAAAAATCCTGAAAAATTGATTCATGAGTCGCTTTGTGGAAGATTAAAAAAAAAACCCCAAACTCCTGCCCTGATATAAATCGGAAGTTTGGAGATATATACATTAACCTTTTCCTAAATTAGCTGGCAGGGTGATATTTAACTACTCTTCCACCCACCTGTCCACAAAATAACCTCCCAGCAATTATTTTGACAGGGTCAAAGCTTTTCTGAATACTCATCTCCTTGGATGAAAAGTTCAGGATGACAAAAAGCTAAATGGGAAAAAAAAAAGAGATCAACTTATACTCTTTGAAGACAGAAATAGAAATCTTGAAGCACTACCTTTCTAGGACAGCCTTCAGAGGATAATCAGCTGTCTTTCAGTTGATAATGGCTCTGGAGTAGTAATGCTCTTTAATTACATACATTTTATTTTATTTTATTTTATAATTTGGTAATGGGCTGTCAGTCTTCTGACAACCACTGATAAATCATATTAAAATCTTCAATATCTATTTTATTATTTGATATTTATATGTAAAAAAAAAAGTTCTCAGAAATCCCAAAATAAAATAGGAAAAGCAATGAGCAAAGGCAGGAAAACAATAGGAAATATAGACACAGCATTGGTAGGTTTAACCTACCTGGGGAAAAGATGATTTACACAGTCCTTGGTGTTCTCTGAGCTTAGACAACTCCATAGTTCAACTCTGAGCTACTTGTGTTCTCTTCTATAGGATGGCTTATATTGAGATGTCCAAATTCCATGAAGTCCCAAACAATGTTAATAAATTGCAAACAAGTACAAGCTAAATTTCTACTTCTCCAGAATACAGGTTCTAGGCCTGAGAGCTGGGCCACTAGGCAGCAAACATCCTACTATAATTTTGAGAGAAATCTCAAGTGTTTTTTCTAAGTGTCCTGTTGATTCCTACAAGTGTAGTAACTGTAATTACTACAATAGGAGTAACTGTGAGAGGGATCTCAGAGTCTTGGCAGCTGCAGCTGCCAAAAAAGCCAACACAGTTCTAGGCTGCATTAACAAAGGGATAGAATCAAGATCATGTAATACTTTATAACGCCTAACGTAAAAAAAATATTGAGACTCTAGAAAGAGTACAGAGAAGAGCAACAAAGATGATTAGGGGACTGGAGACTAAAACATATAAAGAACGGTTGCTAGAATTGGGTATGTCTAGTTTAATGAAGAGAAGGATGAAGAGTGACATGATAGCGGTGTTCCAATATTTCAGGGGTTGCCACAAAGAAGAGGGAGTCAAGCTATTCTCCAAAGCACCTGAGGGCAGGACAAGAAGCAAGGGATGGAAACTAATCAAGGAGAGAAGCAACCTAGAACTAAGGAGAAACTTCCTGACAGTTAGAACAATTAATCAGTCGAACAACCTGCCTCCAGAAGTTGTGAATGTTCTAACACTGGAAGTTTTTAAGAAGAGACTGGACAACCATTTGTCCGAAATGATATAGGGTTTCCTGCCTGAACAGGGGATTGGACTAGAAGACCTCCAAAGTCCCTTCCAACTCTATGATGATGATGATGTGCAAAATTATTTTGCTTTAATTGTTAGCCAACAATATAGTAAAATAATTTCTCTTTGTTCAGTGAGTAAATGTTGCCTTACCCCTACATTTTTTATTTCTCTCACACACATGCACAGCCTAATATGAAAAGGAAAAATTTATAGAAGAGATGGCAATTGTCCAGTTCCCCATCCCCTGACAATTCTGTTTTTAGAAATGAAACACTATCTCAAATTCCTTTTCAGTTTTACTACTAAATTAAAAACAGTGCTAGAGATTTTAGTTCCTAGAGGAGGAAAAAGTTGAAAAAGTACGAAAAGTGCATCTTTACCAGTAAAAATATCAATATGTATTCCAATATTTCTAATATGGTTGTGGAAATACTGCGGACTGGATCTGATTGTCCAGTCTGAATGGTCAAGTGGAATGGATTTTCTGCATAAATTGAAATCATAAAATTGAAACAGATTATTTTCTAATTTATATTAGGGGTTTTTTGCCTTATTTACATAGACCTAGTTTAACACATTTACATATATGTGATGTGCATGTGTACAATTTCAGAAATGTGTACAGTACATTCAGAAATGTACTGAGATCATAGACACATGAAACAACATTATAAAATATAAAATTATATGTAATAACTGAGATATTATTAGATGTATTAGACAACGTGATGGAAAAATGAAAAATATTACACACACACACACACATGATCTGATCTATTTGAAGTGCAACTTGTAACTGCCAGCTTCCCATTGATTTTGCTTGTGGGAAACCAGTGGGAAGTTTGAAGTCACGTGAGGTCCTCATTTAACAGCTTACGATCCTTACTTAAAGCGAGCAATGGAGAGTGCTGGGATTGCTGTTGTTAAGTGATATGGTCACATGACATTGTCTTAGTGATGGAAATTCCAATCCCAAATACTGCCATTAAGCAAGGACTATCTGTATCATATAAGAAGAAAAAAACAAACAGGATGTGGTTTATGTCATAATGATTCTTTCCCCTCCACCCACCCATTGTTTATGTTTCCACAGAAAAATAAAATGAAGCCAATGCTGCCTGTCCTTTTTTCATTGTAACTGAAAAGGAGAAAAATAATTTCAAACAAAGAATGAAAAAGAAGAAACAGTAGCTGCTTGGATGACCTGAAACAAAGTATAGCAATTGCCAGCTCATTAGTAAATGGGTGTCAAAGTTTCTGATTAGTGGGTTGATTCCATAAGCACTTATTGCCAGGTATGTTAGACTTTCCTTCCTTTCTCCAGTTGTGCAGGTAGGTTTGCCACTGTCTCCTTCCTGTGACTGACCCAAGGTTACCGTTACTAGGTCCACATGTGAAGGTCCAATTAAACTGTTTTATTGCTAAACAGTCTATGTACAGGAATATTCTCAACTTAGAATCTGCTTGGATTTTAGAGAAGGATCCACAGAATTCCAGGAGGACTGGACTTAGTTTGGCTGTGGCTACACAGTGATTCTAGGCTGATCTCTCTTTGAACTCTGCCTCCAGGTTCTGCCACTCCTTTTCCTACAGTCACCCAGCTGACTTCTTGCCTAAGATAGGACTAGAACTCATGGCCTTCTGGCTTCTAGTCTGATGCCTTAACCACTTCACCAGAATGGCTAATCTCAAACAACCCAGAAAATACCACACGAGACTATTAGTGCATCCTCCAGTTGAACATTAGTAGGCAGGAAGGCATTTAACTAATAATCTGCCCTTATCTATAACAGATGTGAGTAAAGTATCTGAGAACTTGCAATTGGGATTTTCAAGTCACCAAAATAACATATCATCAAAACACCATTCTTCTGCTCATTTTTTTTTAAGTAGAAAGGAAGCCTGAATCTACAGTGTCCGGATCTCTGCAGGAAGGGAGAAGGGGAAATCCACGAGCTGTGTCAATCTTTCAAAGTAGGTCATCTCAGGAAACAAACTCCACAAGAATAAGTGAAAACTTGTTTTATCATAACGATATGTGGGGATGACCTCGAGAGATGAGGAGGAGAGAAATGTTGCTGAGGGAAGGATGAGATAAGGAGGAGTTGGAGATCTGTGGTTGCATAAGCGGCAGAGAAATAAACCTAGAAAGGAACCTCCCTAGCTTATCAGCCTGTAAAAG